ACAGTACAACAATTTTCATCCGTCCTCATCTGGTGAGATCGACCAACGAATCTCTTCTACATTCACTTTCATTCGAAATGAAGGTCCCCCTAACAAGGTTATGTCAGGAGACTCATCAAAACCAAGTTTCTCTTCGTATCTACAGTGTCGATACACTTCATACAACTGATTTACTGATAGTGGGAAATATGACAAATGTCCTTTCCTGGCGTCCACATCCAACCTGTGGGCCAACCGAACTCGTGGCGCTGTGGCCGAGTGGCTAGCATGTCGTGTTTACACGCGGTGGCGTCATGGTTCGAGTCCCGGCAGTCCACTTCAACCGGGACGAGAACAGCTCTCGGCAACGTCGGCTCGACTGGCGTGATTGTGGGCAAACAGAAGCTGCAAATGGAAAGGTTGATCAGTTTGTGGGCAAAAGTGGCATAATCCACGCGTTTGGCGCGAGCTCAACCGCCAGTCGTGCTTTACTATCCCACCGATACCGTCGCGCTGCTGCGATCCCGCCTAATCCCCACAGTCCCGGCTTGTAATTATATGCAAATGTGCAGTTATCCCATAAGCACTCCACCAACACGTATAATCATCGTGGCTTGCGGCCTCGCGGCCTCGCGGATTAGCCCATCGCTTCACGCATGACTTGAAGCGACAACCCGAATCCCGGTTCGTCCTGTCAGGCCAACAGTCGCTCCGTGTGTCCTGGCACCCTTTCCACCGCCATCCGCCCCTACCCCCGACGCCTAATCCTGGGCTCGAGTCCGGCCCGGCTCCTGTCGGCCATTGGCTCGACGTTTGTCTCGTCTCGTCGGCCCCTCCTGCAAATATCCGTGGAGGCCTGTTTCTGTATGTGTATTATATATATATATATATATGTGTGTGTGTGTGTGTGTGTGTGTGTGTGTGTGTTGGGAATTGCTTGAAACACCCCTTAGGGTTGGGTAAAACACCAGCGTGGCAACATTTCAGTCGACCGGCTCTTGTGACCTAATCGCGAAATGTCTGCTCCAGCAGCAGACATTTCGCCTTCAACTGCTGATTCGTTACAATCTGTGGTCCGAGTGACTTTTTGTACACTCTCACCCTCCACACCCACCTCGGGCATGCCCACCTCTGACCCCACTCCAGCACGCGCCCACACGCCCAAGCACCAACACTTCCATCACACCCAAATCGACAAACATTCGCCCGCAGCCCCGTATCTCTTCACATGGCCAAGCCACTACACATACACATACTCATACACACGACCAGAGCGAGACAGAGAGAGAGAGAGAGACATAAATACAAACAAACACACAATCATACAAACAATTAAGCACACAGACAAACATGTAGACAAATAATCATACATACATATAGACAAACAAACATGCATGTATATCCTTATTCATTCATACATACACACATACATACATACATACATACATACATACATACATACATACATACATATATGCATATTAATTTATTTTG